ATGTATCTACTGATTTAATTTCACTACGAAGCGTACCTACCTACACCGGAGAATATTTTGATTAATTTGATTTGTAAACATTGGAAAATGTTTTATTGTGGAATTTGCTTCCAATTTTAATAAAACGAGAATGAAAATATTATCGCATTTTTTTACTGAATACTGCGAGTGGTTTTCGATGCCAAAATGGGAAAAGAATTCTTCATATTGAAATAAAAACTTATCTTGAAATCCTCTTTCCGTTTAAAGTTTGAATAAAATAATTATTGTTATGGAATGGCTTTGATTTAATTGCTGCAGTAAAATCACTCTTTAGTATATTTCCCAACAACTTAGAAACACAGTTTATATACTAATAAATAAACCCAAAATTATAGTGGGCGATGAATTCGATTTGCAACTGCCAGCGTGGTCGACAACAAAATCAGAACACTTTTAATTACACGTTGTATGTTTCGCGACCGGACGTGTACGATTATTATTAACGTAAATAAATAATCCGTAAGTGGAAACGGGCACGGAAAACCGATAGTTTAATAACAATTTACGATTTACGTACTTCGGTGCTATTTGTCTTTATCACTGACGTAGCTCGTAGCTAATAATAAACATCTGCATCTGCATTAAAATACAATCGTTCTTCGACCCGGTTCTTGTCAATTACATCACTTTCTCTTTTTGTTTAAAGAAATTTTAAGTAATTTAATTATTACACATGTTATATTTTTTCATTTTTTCGAAAAATTGCAAATTGTGGACCTTTAATGATGCTCACAGAATAAAATATATTTACACATCATTTTAGTAATAAACTATTCTTTTAAATTTTATTATGGCAGCGATTGTAACTTGTCTTTTATATCTCAACTGTTTAAAAATCTTTAAAAAAATTAAATAGAGATTTCGAATCAGTTTTTCTGCTACATCTTCCACGAATTTTTTCAAATAACGATGTTTGTGTAAATTCACTAAAGGTAATAGTTCAACTTTTCTTTTTGTTAATTATTGGCTAGTAGTATATGTGCTTTAAGTCCAATATCTTTGCTGGTCTCATTTATTCTGTTCCAGACAAAGTTGGTGTTTTTTCTATGCATCATGCACTACCACCGAATCAGCCGTAAAAATATGCTAGCATTTCTCGAAACGAATTTTCATGTCCGGCATTCCTCGCGAGCCCTTTCGAGATGGCTTCTTTCGATGGATGGTTCTTTAATGCCAGCAATATTTTTTCACGTAACTGTCATTAATGAACCAGCCAGATAAAAAATATGCATTTATATTCTTCGCCAATAAACAATTTCGTCGCCCGCCAAGCAAGATTCATATCCTCCACGATCTCCCAGGGCAGATTTCAAAATTACATCCAATTCCGGTCCAAACCAGTCTTATTGTCGTGTTCAAAGCTGTTATACATTTAAAACCCAGATTTTTTCGTTTACTGGTAAGGGAGAATTATTACTTTTCTTTTCTTTCATTGGAAGTACCGTTACATTTCGTTTTGAAGCTATTTCGTCGACAACAAAGAGATGTTTATCCATATGTACAATCTCCAGTAGTTCTTTTTTCAGCATATATTTTTGAAATTGCTTCTAATCTAAATTCCGCCAATGATTGATGTTTTTTTTCCTCATTATCCATCAAAAACATCAGTATTCAAATTTTCACGATAGTCTCCAGTCCCTTTTGATTGAAGTAAGCTAGTACCATTGACCATTGACAAATCCATCCAATGTAATGTAATGTAATGTAATTTAGTATTATGTAAAAAATATATAATTTTCTAAAGAATTGTAGGCGAATTTCTGAGCTACTTCGAGTTCATTGACTGATTGGATTGGATTAACGATTTAAAAAAAAATGGTGGTGAATGCTGTCACTGTGATTTCTTAACCAATTTGTGTTGCAAAAACGTCAAAGGGGAACATTCTAGAAAAAAACACGTAAAATAATCAGCGTAGGCGTTTGATTGAAATTCCCGTATCGCCTAGAACGTCGACTAGAAAAATGGTTGATTGTTTGAAGTGAGCGTAAGAAAATGTAAATTATCGCCACGACAGAATTAAAATTTTAATCCGCAAATTAGGTGTCGGCGGTATATGCAACTTTAAATACGCCAAATTGTACTTGTCACGTCATTAGTTTCGCGAAAATCGATATTTGATTTTTTTCTTCTCGGCTTTAATGATGTGTTGCGCAACCGGGGAAGGTAAATAATAATACGTTCATTATTTGTATAATGGGCACTGCCGTTGAGGTTTGGATAAAAGCATTTCCGCGTTTGGAAGGTGTGAAATACAAATAGAAAACAGGAAAATCTTATATATTTCCAACTTTGCATTCCAATGCGTTTCATTTCATTCATTTCATTGCCGTCACTTGCTTAGTTAAAACAATGCTGTTGTTCTTCTATTCGCTTTTTTTTCATAAAATTTAAAGAACATTACTAAATCAGCCTTAAACAATCGTTTTTGGGATCATATCTCTGCGAACCTTGAGGAATCTCGCTGGCTGACTTTAGACCAACGGTTTAAATCGCAGCCCTTCCTTTTAAGTAAAAAAATCTTGAGATACTTACTCGTAACTCAAACATTCATTCAGCTAATACTCGCCACAAGGCGCAATAATTCTGCCCAATTGAAACACGTTTTTGATAACAGAGTCCGGTAAAAAAATCTTCCTATTCAGAATTTTTTTTATTGTTAATTTGTTATATTTCGTTTTACATTTTTTTTTACAATGTAAGCTCTTTTATCATATTAACCTGCTTTTCGCTATTGTAATTTTGCATCAGTAGCGTCCCCCTTTTTTTCTTCATTTTGCACAGGTGTTTTTTTTTTCTTTTTTTTTTCATACCTGCTTATGTTTATTCTTGATTTCCATAATGTAATATAATACCTAATTTATTTTATCTAAACGAGTAAGGACTGTTTATCATTATTGTTATTTCCAAAAATCGGTCAGTCTTATTACTTTTATTTGTAGTTCCCGAGCTTATCGGATTCTTTTATACAGGACGTCGCATAACGCGTACGTGACAGACGTGACTCTATAAAAATCAAAAAGTTTTTTCATCAAGTATCAGTCGTTGAAAAAGAGACTTAATTTTATAAAAATTTCAATAATTTCAAAAAAAATGTATTAACGTTTTTGAAGGTGAAGGAATGCAAATTCGGTATCAGTTTGCACCTTAGACCCACCTAGAGAGCGCTTTGATATTTAATTCTGTATTTGTTTTATAACTACCCTGATCTGGTTTCATACTAGTAATTTTTGCTACATAAAACAGGTAATAGAGAATATCAATATCTTAATTTTATCAATGGACAAGAAGTCTGCATTTCACAGTGTGTTACGGCAAGTGTTATGGTTAGTGTTGGGACTGGTTAATTCAGCACTTCTTAATTGACTGATCAAAAAATGTTTTAAATAACATCTTGCCATTGTAGAGTACTATCTATCATTATTTAATGATGATGTCCAATTTACCTATAACCCTCTTCGAGGAATATCTGAATACGATACGGGGAATCCGAATAATAATATCGACTCCATTTGGTTCCCAGAACGACCAAATATAAATTTCATGGTATTTTTAAAACTATTTCAGTCAATTGGCTGGTCTAATGACACCAAAAAATTTGACCACCCTAGTTATTGTTGTTTGATTAATTTAATATCTTTGTCATCCTGTGTCTTCACTAACTACTAACTAACTAACTAATTTTTAAACACAGCTTGTTATTAAGCATGCTGCTTATAAGTTATGACACATCCGGTATACTGGACTTCTTCCATTTTTTCCAACCTCTACACTCTACGGTACGCAAAGTGTAACTAAAAAATAAACGATAATGAAGTATCTTAGAAAGCATTCCTCATAAGAATATGGTTATAAAAAAAATGTACTAATTTTTGGTTAGGCGTCAATGTTAAAAAGACGTTTTATCAGTTCTGAAAGTTCGCGTTTTTGATAATAAAGTCAATATGGCTAATCCGCTCGGTTTAATTTAAACGCATCGCAGAGAAAGCCAAACGTATGCAACTAGCAAATACGAATAAAGACATAAAACGCAATTTTTATGCGTTTCTAACACTACAGCACGCATTTAACTAAATTTTTTAGTTCCGTACGGCCAAAAGACGACGCAATAAATCGAAACGCGAACGGCTGCAATTTAAAATTCTTCATTAATATTCGACCACTCATAAATGTTTATGCTAATTGCTACAAGCTTTTAATTGCGGTCTAAATTTTACAAGGAAAAATGCAATTTTTAATTGATACTTTTGCTGTTATTGATTTGGGATTATTATTTTTGCTTAATCGTATATTATGGAAAAAGTTTATTAATGCCCCTTTAGTCACGCGAGCGGAGCATGGCGTAACACATTTTGACTTTTCTTGCCGTGCTAATCTTTCTCCATTTTAAAAAAACTTCGGGATTTAAAGACAAAATGTGATCATAAACATAATTGTTTTCTTTAGGGATTCGTAGGGAATATTTTAAAAACAAAAATTATATTAATTTATCCCAACGTGAAGTGAACTAAAAAGACGGTAAAAAAACAAAAAAATTGTATGGCCTTTAGGTGCGCTGCAATCCAAAAAATATTGTGATTCCCTCTATAGTTATAGTTTATCTCTCATTTCATTGCCACGGGTTTGCTCCATTTCTTGGCATCTTTTCTTCCACTCACATTAGGCTTAGTACTCTTTCTTAAGGTGGCAACCGTCTGTCAGTAGATCTGCCATTATTGTTACTGTAGCGGGCTGTAAATTTGGTCCATTTTTCGCTACCTTGGTGGCCTTGTTGTCCTGGTGGCAGGCTCACTTTATTCTGACTTGCCATCTCATTTAGTTCCTTATGACACTTATTGTTGCATTTTACTGTGATATCTTTAGTTATAAGTTATTGACTTAGCTTTAGATAGTGGTAATACTAGTTTTTTTTTCACCAACTCTATTGAATCGACATTTATGGATGTATATTTTGTTTCAGGCGGCACCAAGAAATGCCACATCGGATCACGGCGACGCCAATGACGCGAACGGTGGATCGAGACCCAAATTCGTAGCGGTCACGACCCTCGAAGATGTCCAAGCGGTGCGATGCGCAGAATTCCACCCCGGGGGTCAGTTGTATGCCGTTGGTTCCAACTCCAAAACGCTTCGAATATGCGCATATCCCAAACTTGCAGACCTCAGGTCAGTATCATTCATATCTACTTCGTTTCTTTTGCTTAAAGTCGATAGTATAGTCAATAATACATCACAATAACAGAAAGTAGGGGGACAGGCATTAAAAGAATTTCGACCATCACCAAATAGCATTTTGATTCTCGTTAAATCGCCGTTAATTCCATGTAGTTAAAAGTTTGTAGTGTTTATCCAAGAGAAGCGGTAGAATAGGTAACAAAAGCTTATCGTTGCAGGGAAGACCACCAAACTTATCAACCCATGGTTCTGTTCAAACGCACCAAACACCACAAAGGATCGATTTACTGCCTGGCCTGGTCCCCAGTCGGCGACCTGATGGCCACGGGTTCCAACGACAAGACTGTAAAGCTGATGAAATTCAACGCTGATACTTCCAATTTAGAAGGAGAAGAGGTATTTTTATTTTTTATTTTGACCTTCGTAGCGCATGGGTGTGTTCCGAGGGGAGTTTCGGTAGTGGATCTGTGTACGCCAAGTTACCACTTGAATCATAAATTACCCCGAATTACCACTGAAAATATCTTAAATTGCAACTAATTTGGCCTCTATTATATAAATAAATACAGGTATGTAGAAAAATGTTGTGAAAATTTCTGTGTTTCTATATTTCGAGGACAATAATGAAAATAACGATCACCAGAGGGAAAATCAAAACATGATTTATTTCCCTCTTCCTTAGTAATTAATAAATTCTGGAAAATCCTGAAGTGTGACATAGTTGGCACTTCACCTTTCTGGAATAGCGCCATTTCTGGTTATTTTTGTTTAATCTATGTGAACTGACGGAGACAAAAAAAAAGAAAAAAATGATCGTAATTTCTTTATTACAATCAATGCCGGTTTTGGTTATGTGCCTTTCAGGTTATATTCGTCAAAATTGATATTGATTTGTCATCACTCTTTCTAACCTTTGATTGATAATGTAATTCAACGAGCGTCAAGTGCATCACAATTTAGCCAAATAGCAGTAATAACTATCACTATCTTAGGTTAGGGATCATAAATATAAGAAATACATTATTTAAAACCATCGTGGCGTCATTCCAGAAACGCCAACTATGTTTATTTATTCATGAACCAAAAAGGCTAACCAACAGGCAGACGAGGCAGGAAAGCGCATATTAAACATAAGATTAGATCGGGAATACAAAAGAAACAACTAGATATTTCCTAAGTATTTGTATTTCCTAATTTTGTATGGGTTTATTTTAAACAAATGTACGCTTAAGTTGATTAAGTCCGTATCTTCGTTGTTCAGAAAAACAGGAGTACATCAAATAAGCGGTGTTTAAGTTTAAAAAAACTGCTGCGCATCAACGACGCACCCGCGCGCCAGCCTCCCCAGTCGGCGTCTTGCTACGACAACTTGCGGAAGCTATTTCAAAAACCTCCCGAATTAAGACGCAAATTTGTTCGGTTTGTACAAGTGTGCAAATAAAATCGTTCAAAAAGAAAAGCAGTTCATTTTCATCGAAGGATTCTCCCAATTGCGTTCCCGCACGCACAAGCGGAGAGTTTAAAAAGTAGTTAGATCTGATTCTTTCTGTAGAAAAGTTAAAATAAAAAATATAAACAGCACAGTAGGACCACGTATTTGTTTACATCTTCGATGCAATATAGAAAATATAGGCCTTATTTACTTGAACCACATACCTTTCTCTTGGTCTATCAAACATATCAAATTGCAGGCTTCATTTAATTATTATTATTCCCTATGGACTTTCCCAATAAAAACATACCTCATCTTATGGTACGGCATATCTTCTACCTCTACAGAAGCAAAGTATTTTATATTTCTTGATTCATCTTCAGAATGAAACTTGTTTTGAAACACTTATTACCAGAAAATTTCTCCACATTAACTCCAAAGTAAAGTAAGTAAATTACACTGGTCACCACTATACTCCCAGTATTTGTGACTCATTCCCCTAAAATTTCTTCTAATTACTACGACTTTGTACACTAAATTTTCTGAATGAAACCTTCCTCCGCGTGTTTCGATTTTTTTACCAATAGCAGTTAAATTTTATTTATTTATTTATTATTGCTTGTAGATTATGGTCAATATTATGCTTTTTCCAGATCGAATTGACAATGCACGACGGCACCGTCAGGGATATTTGCTTCCTCGAGGACACCATGAACAAGTCCAGCCTCTTGATCAGCGGCGGAGCGGGCGACTGTAAAATCTACGTCACAGACTGCGCCACCGGCACCCCCTTCCAAGCTCTCAGCGGCCACACGGGACATATACTCTCGTTATATACCTGGGGTGGTGAGTATCCATCATTGCGTTGCACGATTTCGCCAACGGAGTATTCGTGTAGGTGCCATGTTTGTAAGCGGCTCTCATGACAAAACGGTACGCTTTTGGGACCTCCGAACCCGAGGTTGCGTCAACATGGTGACGCCCATAACTCAGCCGGGTACCCGTCAAGGTTCTCCGGTAGCCAGCCTCTGCGTGGACCCCTCCGGGAGGCTGTTAGTGTCCGGACACGAGGACTCTTCTTGCGTGCTGTACGACATCAGAGGCGGTCGAAATGTGCAGTGTTTCAAACCCCACTCGGCCGACATCAGGTCGATCCGGTTCTCACCATCAGCATACTATCTTCTGTCAGGCGGATATGATAACAAGTTGGTGTTGACCGACTTGCAAGGTAAACTATCAAAAATGGCAATGGTATTCGGTTATGGAACCCTTTGCTCTTTTTATTTCAGGCGATTTAACTTTGCCGTTGCCCAGCGTGGTGGTAGCCCAGCACAGCGACAAGGTGATTTCCGGACGTTGGCATCCTTCCGAGTTTTCCTTCCTGTCGACGTCTGCCGATAAGACGGCCACCCTGTGGGCGTTGCCGCCCATTTAACCCTTCTTTTTGTAAACCCGTTTATCCCTAAGTCTGAACTAACCGATACTCAAGCGCTGCACTAACTTTGCAGCAGTCGAAACAAAAGGCTTTATTGGCTTCGCTCTAAATATATATACGTAACGGCCGGTGTGTTTATTTTTCCGTTTGGCATTTATTTTCGGAGCACAAGATTCTGTTCTCATCATCAGCTGAAATTATATTCGGCGTTCGCGGAAAAATATAGACAACACCTGACGAAACTATGTAATAACTGTATATAAATAATATATTTCTACACTTTTTAAAGCTTTGTATAAAGTTGTAACTTTATTAATATACATTACTGCAGTATTTATGTTAAATTAATGTTTAGATGAAAGTTTTAAGATATGCGTTGTTGTGTTATTTAATACCAAGTTAAGGAACGTTTTAATTGGTAGTTACTTAAATGTATTTGTATTTACTTATTACAATAAACCTGTAATACAAAATTGAACTTTACTTCTTCGCTGAAAATCTAATCGATAATAAGCTGGCATCATCAGTTCGAGTGGTGAGGAGGTAAGTAGTTTTTCTTTACTTTTATAAATTCAATGGTATTTTTCAACCGGGCAAGACCTAATTGAAAAATTAAATAGTTATGTTGTCTTCAAGTTGGAACCAACCCATGAATCATTCTTATTTATATTTTCCACTAATGATTGTATAGAACTAATCTTATCACTCAAAAGAGATCAGAAGAAGAATTGAGATCGCAACAGCCAAGGATTCCTGAAGATGCATATGCATATGTTGTCACCATTTCAACTGAGAACCCTTGGCATGCCAGACATGAACGTTAAAACAAAAAGACATAAAAATACTTAACGTATTGGAACTGTGCATGTAAAGAATGCTTCAAATCAGCTGGATCTCTAGGACAACCAATCAAGAAACTCTGAGAGAAACAACCGCCCGCTTTTGACTACTCTTATTAAAATTATAAAAACTTCCTACCTTGGACATATGCATGGCAGAAAGAATCCCAAATAGGGAAGACTTTTCCATATTTGTCGACAACCTCTCGAGAGAAGGCACATAGTAGGAGGAATTTTTTATCGTTAATGAAATTGAAGTTGCTCACTGTGACGTTTTGCCCTAATCTATACCTTCGTCCCGTTCTATTTATGCACAACTATTTCGTCTTCTCTTCATTCACTTTTGGTCCTACTTTGCTTGTTATCTAGATATTATTCTTTTACTCTAAGGGGGAACCTCGATACAATTTCTTTCTCTAATTATGGCATCCATCCTTTTTTATAAATATAGGTCATTATAAGAACACTGCTACTCTCACTAATTAATAATAATTGAGCGTTTAATTCGCAAAGGAAGTTGAAGGTAAACTTCCAGACGGGTGAATCACTGTCGGTTATCAAGTTTGAACAGTGGACTCATGATGAACGTCAGTTCATCTGTCTGAAATCTCTAATTAAGCTAAATAAAGACAATGACAGTTGGAAGAGTTTTTAGTTTCAAACTTCATACTGGTCAGGGCGGCTGCAAGAGCGAACAAGGTGATCGAATCATTACGAAGAAGTGGCATTCGGTCGTTCAATCCTATGCAGTGGTTAATCAAAGTGACCGAATCAATCACGATTGACACAACTCTAGTTTCAACATCGAAAACGATATCACAGGTTGCGTGAATAGTAACGTCAACGTGAATTAACAAAGAATAATATCAAAAAGTGGATGGCAATGGAAACTTTCCAGACTTACCGAGAGAGTGTTAATACCCTTGATTTTGTTAATAATAATGCTGCTTGTTCGTTTTCAAACTGTGCTCCAACTTGGAGTAGACCAATATAACGCATGCATTCTCTTGGCTGTAAAATTCTTTGTTTCTAAATTGGAAAGTAACATAATGTCCCTCAGTTACATCAAGGCGCACTCTTGATTTTCAAAGAACTCAGTATGGCCTCAACCCTATGTTGAATTTAACAGGAATTCCTTCCTTGTTGGTATGGGTTGCAGTTGTTGTTTACGTTGAATTTTATACAATGAAAGACTTACTAAAAGACTAAAATTATTATGAAGTATAACAGACAATTAACTGCAATTTAACTGTAATCTACAACATACCAAATTATAGATTTAGGTTTTGAATTACTAGCTACCATACATGTAGAAGTGTAAATGTTGAATACCAGTTCTCATGCTCCTTCAATTTTACAATAGATGGCGCGCAAGTCGTGGCAAAAACGGTCGCTATACCTGCTTCAGCCGGCTGGCCGGCAGATGGGCGAGAAATCGATACGTCCGAATTTCCACGCCGATCTCTCTTGTTTTCCCCACGTGAACGGACGCAGTCAACGCACTGTCCAAACAAATCATGTATGTTCGACCATTTGACCGGCAGAATTCGTGTCAGGACATGTTTCGACTTGTAGAAGGCGCTTTCAACGGCCCATCCACCCGATACCAACCCAAAGCTCCTCTTTCTGTTTACTGCTGCTCGGGCACGGTCCGTTGTTATGGTTAGTTTTCGCAGCGGCGCGAACACATGCACACATAACCGGCCAAGACACACCGGGTGTTTATATTTAAATGTACCAGAAAAAATAGAGTAATCGTTTAGTGTACTACGCGGTGACTCGTTGCAAAGTATGTGGGAACAGCTGAATTGAGGTTAAGGTTTCTAGACCTGTCTTCTGAATGTATATGTAACGCGATAGGCGTTTCATATTTCGGTTGATTATTTGAAAGGTATGAGACTTGCAATTATTTTTGTTTTAACGGTGAAAGGCTTGATCCAGACGGTTTCTCAGTGCGTATTTTTGAAATTGTCCAAGAAATGGGTGCTTGTAAATTAGGCACCGGTGTTGAGAAGCCGGCTCTAAAAATAAACGTCGGTTGCTAAGGAGAGGTCCCATAACGTCGAGAAAACCCAACACCATGGCCATAAGAGAAACTATTTCTATTTTTGCACGTTGATTCAAACGGATGAGGTCCCATTGTCTCGAAGAGACGAGGTTAACAGCATGTTAAATTTCACTGAATAAACATTGCTAATTATAAAAAGTAATAAATGCACCTTTACGCGGAATTTTAATTTTGTGCTAGTCAGAGTGAGTTAACCGTTCCACGTCTAAGAAGAACCATTTGTTTATCGTGATTCTTCAGTTTTATTATCTCAAAAGGCAAGAAAATATTTTTTATAAATTTTTATAAAAACTACTAAAATTTGGGGGCGTTGAGTGTTTGTGAACCCCTTAGATGCCTTGAAAACTATCAGAAATGCATTAAGGGATGAGAAGACGAATATTTAAAAAAATCAAAAATATGTGTAAAAACGATGTTACACGATAAAATTGGTATGGGATATTTCGAAAAGCGTTAGAAAGTTTCCTTCAAAAAAAGTGGAAACCCCAGCTGCCGTCGCAGGAATCATTAATTTTTCAAAAAAAATTGTATTCTCTTTCTCTTAATTCTAAAAACGTGTTTCTGATAGTTTTAATGACAGCTAGGGCGTTCCGTTCGTTAGGCGTAATTTTTAATAGTCTATCGGATGACCCCCCGCCCAAATTTTGTTATTTAATAAAATTTCTTTTTTGCATTCTTTTTTAAAAAAATGTCTTCTTTTGACCATACCTATTTTTCTTTTAATTTTTAAATTATAAATGCTTAAGATAATTTTGGGATAATGTACTAGACAAGGCGCTGGATGGAGTTGAGTTTGCAAATTGTGAGGACCGCATTTTGGTAATTGATTTGAGTTCAGAAAAGTTTGTAGATTAATATTCCGGATGTTGCCGGACATTTTATTGGTCCAATTTTTTTTTAATCCCCTCCCACCCCGTATCGCGTTACCATAGCGAGCGCGTGCTATGGGTCTAGTTTAATATTTAATTTAGTAATAATTTTTGATTTTTTTTACTAAATACATATAATAATAATTTGCCAAATGATTATACAACAGCAATTATTTATTAAAAAAAGGTCATAAATTGTTTATAAAAAAAATTTTTAATCAGAAAAATCAAATATAAAGGTATATACTTAAAAATACAAAAACATTCTAAGAAATGCAGGTGTGAGAGCTGGTATAGCAGTGAAAATATTTGTCGAATTTTACCAGCATTGCATTTTATAAGTGGCTGCGATACAACGAGTAGAATAGGCGCAAAAAAAATTGTTTGAGTATTGCATCGCTAGATTTCGTACAAGAGGCTCTAGGACCACTAGGAAATTTAGATCTAAGTACTGAACAGTTGGAAAAATTAGAAACTGTTTGTACTTATCTTTGTTCAAAAAACCGATCGACTGCTGATGAACTCCGATTTAAATTGATTTCACAAAAAATCGGCTTCGATTTAAATTTAATGAAAGTCATTTGCACGTCTGATGCTTTGCATTTACATTTATTAAGAGCTACCGTGCAAACTTATCTATGGATAAATTCCGATCAAACTCAAATTGTAACTATTGATTACAATTCATTTGGATATGAAGAAAGAAATGGAAACCTGTGTCCACGACAAATGACCAAGCCATCGTTACCAGAGTCTTTGATTCAGCCCTGTAAGTGTGCATCGTATTACCGCACCATGGCTTGTCATTGCAAAAAACAGAATTTAACTTGCATTTCATTATGCAAGTGTGCAAGTAATGACTGTCAAAATATGCATCATTGATTATTCGCACTACTTTCAAGTACGTATCTTTATAACTATTTTTGCTGATAAAATAAATTTCTTGGTGACAATTTATAATTTTAAATAATTAATTTCTGTTTTAATCATCATTAAAATAATTATTAAAATAGCGTCATAATATATGAATAATAACTATAAAAATATAAATCATCAATTATTATTTGTATTATTATTTCAAGTGTGTATGTATCAATATATATATATATATATATATATATATATATATATATATATATATATATATATATATATTCTCACGTATTGATTCACGGATGGAAAAATGTGATGACACTATATTCCGGGATATCATCCGTTCGCTCGTTGAACTCCGACTGGAATCCTGCAAATCTTGCATCCGACTGGAATCCTGCAGACGTTTCGCCAAAATCTCACTTGGCATCTTCAATGCTCGCGCTCCGAAAACACTTCGAACACTGGGGCTGTAAAGGTCTCCTTCCCGTAAAGGTGTATGATATTCTCACGTATTGATTCACGGATGGAAAAATGTGATGACACTATATTCCGGGATATCATCCGTTCGCTCGTTGAACTCCGACTGGAATCCTGCATCCGACTGGAATCCTGCAAATCTTGCATCCGACTGGAATCCTGCAGACGTTTCGCCAAAATCTCACTTGGCATCTTCAATGCTCGCGCTCCGAAAACACTTCGAACACTGGCAGGATTCCAGTCGGATGCAAGATTTGCAGGATTCCAGTCGGATGCAGGATTCCAGTCGGAGTTCAACGAGCGAACGGATGATATCCCGGAATATAGTGTCATCATATATATATATATATATATATATATATATATATATATATATATATATATATATATGATGACACTATATTCCGGGATATCATCCGTTCGCTCGTTGAACTCCGACTGGAATCCTGCATCCGACTGGAATCCTGCAAATCTTGCATCCGACTGGAATCCTGCAGACGTTTCGCCAAAATCTCACTTGGCATCTTCAATGCTCGCGTTCCGAAAACACTTCGAACACTCGTGTTCGAAGTGTTTTCGGAACGCGAGCATTGAAGATGCCAAGTGAGATTTTGGCGAAACGTCTGCAGGATTCCAGTCGGATGCAAGATTTGCAGGATTCCAGTCGGATGCAGGATTCCAGTCGGAGTTCAACGAGCGAACGGATGATATCCCGGAATATAGTGTCATCACATTTTTCCATCCGTGAATCAATACGTGAGAATATATATATATATATATATATATATATATATATATATATATATATATATATATATATATATATATATATATATATATGATGACACTATATTCCGGGATATCATCCGTTCGCTCGTTGAACTCCGACTGGAATCCTGCATCCGACTGGAATCCTGCAAATCTTGCATCCGACTGGAATCCTGCCAGTGTTCGAAGTGTTTTCGGAGCGCGAGCATTGAAGATGCCAAGTGAGATTTTGGCGAAACGTCTGCAGGATTCCAGTCGGATGCAAGATTTGCAGGATTCCAGTCGGAGTTCAACGAGCGAACGGATGATATCCCGGAATATAGTGTCATCACATTTTTCCATCCGTGAATCAATACGTGAGAATATATATATATATATATATATATATATATATATATATATATATATATATATATATATATATATATATATATATATATATATATATATATATATATATATATGTATATGATTTTTTTCAATAAATAATTTTTTATTCGTAATTAATGTTTTCTTTTTCTATTTTAATTTCGTTTGACAACAAATTATTGTTTCATTTTAAAAAAGAATGATTGTAAAAACGTAAATCCCTGATTATTTATATTTTTTTTAAGTATATGTTTTTATATTTGATTTTTCTGATGAAATAAATTTTTTATAAAGAATTTATGACTTTTTTTATAAATAATTGCTGTTTTATAATCATTTGGCAACTTATTATTATATGTATTTAGTAAAAAAAATAAAAAAATAGCACGCGCTCGCTATCGTAACCCGCTACGGGGTGGAAGGGGATTAAAAAAAAATTGGACCAATAAAATGTCCGGCGACATCCGGATTATTAATCTACAAGCTTTTCTGAACTCAAATCAATTGCCAAAATGCGGTCCTGACAATTTGCAGACTCAATTCCATCCAGCGCCTGCACTATACCATAATATGACATTTCTAAAACTGTATTCTAGTGGGAAATTTTATTTTCAAGACGATTTCACGCATCATTTTATTCGACTGCAATAAATCAAAATCCCAACAATGTCATTAAAAAAAATTCAACGTTAATTTACTTTAGTACGTAAAATGGTGACAAATTGGAAAACTGGCCACATGTAAAATGTTCATTTCATTTCAGAACCCAACCTTTTCGTCGATGGTCTTTGTACTCTACTAATAATTTCTACTACATCAACTTTCTTATATTTAAGGAGTAGTGTTTCTTTAACTTCTAATTAACGAAAATAACAAAGTTAATGGTAATAAAATTTTAAAAAATTTCCATTATTCGTTTAACACTTCTTTGTTGTTGTTTGTTCTTGGATTTTTTTTAGCAAAATATTTTCGAAAATTTATCCCATTCTTAGAAATCAAAGAAATTTACATAACTTTTGTGTTGATAGATTTATATAAACTTTTATTAAAAAAATGTCAACTGGAGCAAGTAGTAATCGAAAAATCTTTTATTGCTAGTATTTCGAAATTCGATGTAACCGTTTAACTCTCTTAACTCTAAAATTATAAAAATGGGGTGTTACTATTTGACACAATAACTTTCAGATCTGCAAACGTTATTTTTGCTATAAAATGCAAAATATGTCAAAAAACTTTGAAACTGCAATGGAAACTTTTAAAGCTCATCTTTTAAATGTCAACCGAGTTAAAACAATAAACCGTTTGCTGTCTGCCATGCTTGGAATTTAACAGATTTTTTTTAATATACGGGAAAAAATCCACCGCCTCAAAATCACCACGAGTTTCACTTACGTAACGCAGTTTTTCATTCGCCCAAGGATATTATCGTACTATAATTGTTTTATCCTTGCACCGCGGTTCAAT